CAGGACCACTGGCTTGACAGGGGATTGTGGTTCGGGCAGAATCCAGAGGACCAGATGGAGAGGCCTGGGCTTGGGAGTCCCACACCCCTGCCCTAGAGGCAAGCCCGCCCCACAGTATAGAAAGGAGGGCACTGTACACATGGACCCTAGGCTCCACCTTAGCAGGACTGCCTCTGCCTTTGGCTTGACCAGCATACAAGCCATACATTTTAAGCACAAGCCCCCCTCTGAAAAATCCCAGGAACCACAGTTTACCCACCGCAACACTACAATTCCCAGCACCCTTAAACTACAGTTCCTAGGATTCGTTTGGGATGGGGAATGTGATTTAAGTGCATGTGGCGTGTAGGCAGCCCCAGGACCGGAGGCACAGCTGATACAAAGTGTTTGGGCCAAAACGACAGAGTGAGGCATTATAAGAAAACAGAGACGAAGGCCATTGTGAGCGTTAGCACACCCCGCTCCCCCTGAAATCATCGACCTGCGTTATTTCCCCCAAGATGAAGGCCGTCAGCAGCCTGGGTGGCAAGGCTGTTTTCCTTTTTTCTTCTCCCCGACATCCTTTTGAATAGCTGGAACTGTCAATAGGTTATAAACAACGCACTGTCTGATTGCTCTTTCGGCATGAAAGCAAATGCACCGCTGTTACTCAGCAATTGCACAGAGTCCGCACAGCATCCCCTGGAAGTGAGGTGATTTATTCGGGCACCACAGGGAGTGTTTTCATGTGGGTCTCGCAAGTGGGGCCACCTGAACGAGATGACCTGACTCAGGCACCAGGTCTGGGGATATCAAGTGAGGATTTGCTCAATGGCAAAAAATGGCTATCTATTCAATGCATTGTAATTTTTTATGGTGTATGCAAAAGAGTTGCCATGGAGTGTTGGAGACACAGATTTACAATGGCACCTTAAACCTGGGTCACAGCTGCAGCCATGCAATGTCTGTCCACTGGAGTTTGGACCTGGGTATCTTCCAATGCCACAATTCTGTGATTCAGTGATTCTATGACTTCAACTACATTCATACAGTCACACCTTGGAAGTCAAACGGAGTCCGTTCCAGAAGTCCGTTCGACTTCCAAAACGTCCAGGAACCAAAGTGCAGCTTCTGATTGGCTGCAGGAAGCTCTTGCAGCCAATCAGAAGCCGGGGAAGCCCCATTGGACATTCGGCTTCCAAAAACAGTTTGCAAACCGGAACAGTCACTTCCGGGTTCAGGAGCCAAAATGTTTGACTTGCAAGGCATTTGGGATCCAAGGTACGATTGTTTGTTCTTACAGTATGCAAGGAGGAGAAAAACAGAGAGTGGAAGTGGTATTGAATTCAGTGCCATGAACTAAGGCAGAGGTTGTTAAACTGTGGCCGCTTACCTGGCACTCAGAAATCTCCACGTGGTTGCAATTAGTGCCAGTATCAAACACATCTGGCTAATTTCTAACACTGCTGCCGGGTGGGCATAAGGACATCAACAGAGACTGGATCAGGCCAAAAGTCCATCTGGTTTAGCATCCTGTTCTCTCGCAGAGGCCAGCTTAGATGCCCCTGGGAAACCCACAAACAGGACCGAAGGCAACAACACTCTCCCCACAACGGTCCCCAGGATCTGGTATTCAGAAGTAGACTGTGATGGAGCATAGCTTTGATGGCCAGCAGGAGTTGATAGCCTTAACTGCTATGGACAGGCCTAATCCTCTCTTTAAGCCAGCCAAGTTGGTGGCCAGTCACGTTCTAAGGATGATGGCAGGGGAATGGACACTGGGCACCCTGAACGGTCAAGGCCACAACATTGCTTCACATCTCATCTATTCTCATTCCTGCAAATGTTTCAGGAGCATATATAGCTGGCTGATATTACAAGTGGATCACCAATCTAAATGGCCTGACTCCCCAGTGCAATTTATCCCACACCTAAAATCAGGACTGCTGCACCTCAGGGATGTGGCAAATGCTTTCCTGGCAAATAGCCACCCACAACAAACATTTAAAGCACACCCAACACACTTTGAAAGCATGTAATTTCACCCAGAGAATCCCGGGAAATGTAGTTTCTACCTTCCAGAGCTATAATTCCCAGCACCTTTCTTTTTTAAAAAAGTTACAGCTGAGGGAATTGGGTATGTCTAGCCTGATGAAGAGGAGACTCAGAGGAGATAAGCTAGCCATCTTCAAATATCTCAAGGGCTGTCACATGGAAGAGGGAACAAGCTTGTTTTCTCCTGCTCTGGAGGATAGGACTCGAACGCATGGCTTCAAGTTACAAGAAAGGAGAATTCAGCTAAACATCAGGAAGAACTTTCTGACAGTAAGAGCTGTTCAACAGTCTCCCTCGGTAGGTGGTGGACTCTCCTTCCTTGGAGATTTTTAGGCAGAGGTTGGATGGCCACTTGTCGTGGATGCTATAGTTGAGATTCCTGCATTGCAGGGAGTTGGACTAGATGACCCTTAGGGGTCCCTTCCAACTCTACAATTCTATAGTTCCCAGGATTCTTTTGGGGGTAGTCCTGTGCTTTAAATGTATGGGGTGGATCTGTCCTGAAGGAATCAATGGCAGTGGATGATCTGCTTTCAATTTAAAACATTCACGAACATAGCCAACATCAAAAATATATACTGCAACCTATTTTCTTTCCAGTGCTTCAAAACCCATTTTTAACTGATGCCGGAAAATAAAATAACCTCGAATTTCTCTGAAAACAAGCTCCTCACTAACAATGAGGGAAGCTGGAGAGAAAAGAGAGGGAGATTTTCATATGGCTGTCAGGACCACAGACAGGCATGATCTCTCCTAAATGCAACAATGTTCGCTTCCTGACTGTCCTTCTTCTGCAGGGTGGATTGAGAACATAAGAAGAAGCTGCAGGATCAGGCCAATGGCTCATCTGAGTCCAGCATCCTGACCTCACAGTGGCCAACCAGATGCAGGATTCGAACACCTCTCCCCTCCTGTGGTTTCCAGCAAAAAGTATTCAGAAGCATTGCAGCTTCTGACCAGCGGCCATTGACAGCCCTTTCATCTGTGAATTTGTTCAATCCGCTTTGAAATGTTGGTGCTCATCAACGCCTCCTGAGGACATCTGGACGTCCTTTTCCTGGTGCATTCACGATTCATACTCATGATGCTATGGGGAGGTCACAGGTGACCCCACTTTCAATCCTCCTTTTGCCTGCAAAGGCTTTGGGGCAGAGATACTGCTTCATTTCCAATCAGTGCATAACCTGTAACTTCCAGCTAAAATCCCAAATCTTTTCACACCACACTTCCAGCTAAAATCCCAAATCTTTTCACACCACAAACGTTCAGCGAGGGTGCATGCAATGGAGGCTGCATTTCAGCCACACAAAAGCCAGAGGAGTCCACACAAACACACACCCCTCCATCCCTCCGCTCAGGCAAGGAAGAGGCATTGCCACAGTTCTAGAACACAGTCCATCCGGCAAAAGTAACAGAAAGTAGGGGGAGGGACTTGGGAAGACCCCACAGGGCCAGACAGAGTTGCCTCAAGGGCCACCGGTGCTCTACAGATGTATCTTTATCCCCAGTTGAATGTATGAAGCCCATACGGCATCAGACTATTGGTAAAACTAACTCAGAACTGTCAGCTCTGGCTGGCAGAGGTTCTGAAGACCCAGTGCAGTGAGAGGCATTTCCCATCACCTGCAATCTTTTCTTCTTCCTCTTGTAATCTGGAGGTCAAAGTGGGATCTTCTGCAGGCAAAACAGGGGCTTGAACCCTGAGCTATATATACACCCCCACCACAGAGATCAGAGTTCCCTGCAGATCCCAGCAGATAAGCAGACCCCAGATCAGCTTACTACACTTTTAGAGTGACCGACTTTCACCTCTTTATCTTCATGGCAATGCTCGTTTTTATGCGCAAGCTCTAGAAGCATGCATGCTAATATAATTAATGAATTTCCCAACTGGGCTTCCTCCAGATGTTTCAGGTGACAGTTCTCATCAGCCCCAGGCCAAAACATCTGGAGAGCACCTGGCTGGGAGTCCTGGGATAAGGGACATAGGTGCCTCGGAAACCTTTTAAGGACTTTGGGAGATGGGCACTTAGGTGTAGCGCACCTGTGGCCGTCCTGATTTTGCAGAACAGCTCCTCCCATGAACCCCAGCAAACATGGGAGGTGCAGGCCAAAGGTCCTCCTCCTAGCAGAAGGAGGGAATCCAGCATTAGAAAGGAAGGGCAAGCCACATTTTTGGGAAAGTTAGAAGACATCTGAAGGCAGCCCTGTTTAGGGAAGCTTTTAATGTTTGATGCATTACTATATTTTAATATTTTGTTGGAAGCCACCCAGAGTGGCTGGGGAAGCCCAGCCAGATGGGCGGGGGGTTTTTATAAATAATTTATGATGATGATGATGATGATGATGTTCATCCACCATGGATCATCAATCCAGACTGGTGTGTCCTAAGCAAAGAGAAGCAGCCTTTCCCAAAGAGCAAGAAACAGATCTAGATGAATTAGGCTAGACAATCAGCTTGCACATGCTCACCAACAAGGAAAAGCAGGTTCATTAGTTTATAATGAATTTTTGTGATCTGGCAGCGCTCAAAACACACTAATTTACTCTTTGCTTGTGTGCCCCAAAGGGGGAAATGGCTAGTCAGGTTTTCAGCATGGTCCAGAAAGGGTCAAGGAAAAGCCAGCTGAAGTCAGTACCTGTTGGCCTGTGCCCATGGCATCACCGACACACCAGCAAGCCAACCCTGGAGCAGGGCCACATCTGGCTTGCTAACAACACTGTCTTGGTTTTTAGCAGGAGATGGACACATTGCGTACTCTTTCCATCGGAGGGAGGGAAGTGGGTCAGCCCAACTGAAGTACAACGGGGAGAGAAAACAGAAGACGGACGCTTCTCTTTGGCACGGGAAGCAAGTCACTGATTTGACAGCCAGCTAGGTAGCCTGAACATTTGCAACACCAGTTGCGATTGGGAGAACTCTTCCACGAACACTCTTTAAAAGAAACAAGTCTGTCTGTGGTGCAGCATACTGGGGATAGCTCAGTTGGTAGAGCACGAGACTCTTAATCTCAGGGTTGTGGGTTCAGGTTCCACACTGGGCAAATGATACCTGCATTGCAGGGGGTTGGACTAGATGACCCTCATGGTACCCCTTCCAACTCTACAATTCTACATCCAGGGGATTTCTTCCCAGCTCTACAAAATAAGATCTATCAAGGGCATGGGACAATCCCATGCAACAACAGGATGATTTGCTGGGTTGCAATTCCTGCGCCCCTCCCTCCTGCATCCAGAATCACATGGAGGCTAAAAATATAAACATCCCCCAAGTATGGAATGCAAACAGAGAGCCAGCCAGCCTTCTCCATTCTCCTTTCTGGGGGTTAACCGTGGATTTCAGTTGTATTTGCATCAGCATAATGCATGAGCGATGCACATCATGTTCCAACGTAACGCTGGTTTGCAAACCCATTACAAACCACAGTTTTGCTCCTTCTTTTACAAGGAGACCTGCTTTGCATTGGCTTACCTTGAAATGACTGTTGGTGCCAGGAAGGGAATGAAGAACTAGATGATAATTGGTTGTTTTCCCCTTTTATCCTCTGGAAGGAGAAGCTATTCCTGTCTCGTTTGTGATTTGCAAACCATGGTTTATAGGGCAGCTCCCCATTAACAGCCACGCCAGAGAGAAAAAGCTAAAAGGAATAACTTTGCAGCAGCCGAGAGGGTATTTTGAAATTATTGCAATAAGCTTTATAGAAAAAAGTACAATACAGTTAAGAGATGCAAATTTCAATTTCTTTGCTCTAGGCAGAGACTAACAGCGGCTTTTGGCATGACAGGTAGCGCCACCAGCCAGAGGAACTGTAGCGCACCGGGCTGGGAGCTCATCCTGCCGTGCCCAAAAACCACGCTAACAGGCACTGTTCTAAAGCAAACTTGTGGAAGAATGAACTAGAACGAGCGTTTCAAACCCCTCTCCCCCACCTGATACAAAGATCAGCGAAAACGGCCCTAATCTAAGTCATCTGTCATTACTTCACAGTTTGGGAAATTAAGTCGTCGTATTTTATGCATGCTTCGGAGTCATGCAACCAGCCAGCCAGTCTAAGTGGGGAGGGTTTGCTACTGTTGAACATTTGCATTCTCTTCTGTAGGGCAGGGGGGAGCACAGCCAACCATTAATTTCCTCGAAGGGAAGCAAAGAGAAAATTACATCCTCTCTCTCTCTCTCTCTCTCTCAGGTCAGGTCCTTCCTCCGCAAATGTTTCTGTGCTGAGCTGCCTAACAGTTGGGTAGTAGCTCTTTGGTGGCTGGGAAACAGAAATAGTATTTTTGGGGGGTTGGGGGGTGAGTTGAAGAGAACTGAGTCAGCTTCAACTGACGACAGTAAAAGCAGGGGGGCGTGGGGGGGTTGCAGGGTTCCAGCTAATGGAGCCCTATTGCACTCAGTTGCTGTCAGGGGACAAACTCACCCCAGAGGGACGGCCTCGATTCGTTTAGAGCCAGGCAGGATTTGGTAGCCCTCACTTTTGCCAGGGAAAACTGGCTTTGCTGGAGGAAACGGGCTGTGCAAAGGAGAAAGGGAATAGAGTTTTCTTGCTCTCCCAAAGAAAATCCAAGTTTTATATGTCCAGGGTTTTCCCCCATTTCTTTCTCCAACCATGAAGACCGTGGCTGCAGGTTGCACCCAAAGCTAGCAGCATAGACCCTCTGGAATCAATGAGCCTGAGTTAGTCATGCCCATTGATTCCATTAGGTCTACTCTGAGTAAGGCTAGCACTGGATGCAAGATCCCAGCCCCCTTGTTCCTTAAACACAGGGGGATGGAGAGAGGCGAAAGAGGAAGGTCAGCTTTAAACTTTTTTCTCACTGCCCGGTGATTCCAGGGGACACCCCCCCACACTGCAATGCTGTTCTAAAGGCAATTAAACTGCCACCCTAAATCCACTTACTTGTACAATAGCGACACTGAAATCCATGGGCCTACTCCAGAAAGAAGCTGTTTGAAGATGGCAGCTCAACAGCCTTTCTTTAGCGAACTACTGACTCTGGAGTAATTTGTCGATTTCAGTGGGACTACTCAAAAGCAAGGCAGCAAGACCTTTCTCTGCTAGGACAATGTCATGGTGGCGAGTGTGTGTGTTTGGGAGCAGAAGGGGAGATGATTCTGCTATAAACCTGTTGTTCCCTGAAGCTTGGAGGTCTGTAAGGAATAAATCCTGACCATGCCAAGGTGACTGCTGCGTCAGCCTTCTCCTGCGCCTAGAGCTGAGAATGGGGCAATGGGTTAGCTGCAGGCAGAATAATGTGGGGTTTTCATGCACCAGTTGTTGTTTTTTTACATGTTTACTTGGCAGCAAGTCCGATTTTAGTTCAACAGGACTCACTTCCAGGGAAGTCTGCTCAGGATCCCAGCTTTCCCCCTATTTGGGGGCAGATTAGAATTGGGGCCAAATAATTCCTAATGAGGCAAGAAAGAAGGGCTACCCTTATGCAATTCATATAATCAGTTATCAGTAATCAAAATATTCATATATGCTCACACATAATCAGGGCTTACAGTATTGTATAATCCATTTTGAATCAAAGGGAAGCTGTGCCTTAGCTAACTGCAAACTGCTTGAAACAGCAAAATTAGGAGCCGACCTTTCCCCTACAAACATCCGTGTACCCTGGACAAGGGGAAGACGTGAATCAGAGATACTGGTACAAAATCCCCTCAGATACAGGCTAAATTAATCCACAGAACAGGAAGAGCTAAACCACAAAATCTCCAATACTCCCTGTCCTGTCATAACTAGGGGAGAGGTTAGACAGAGCGTCACTGCAAGCAGCGGAAAGCAGAATTAGAACTCCGTGCTTGACCAGTGCTTGACCAGGAGCTGGAAGCATGGCAAGAAGCTCGCTAATTGGCTAATTCTCGCTGGCGATATCGTGACTGCCTCATGGTTGTCTCATGATCTATGATTTGCTGTGATCTGCTCAGGTATAAAGACCTCTGGATTTCTGTCAATCGGGGTCCCAGTTCCTTTTGGAAGAGATTCCAAACTGGGTCCTTATTGCCTGGCAATAAACTTCACCTTCTTATTCTCCATTGCTGCGTCTGCCTGATCCTTACTGATGCCAAGCGAGTACCTGCTTGCGTTCACGTGCTTCACTAACACTCCCAGTTCCCCCTAGATAGAAGCCTATGCTGCATAGTCCTGTGTCCAGAATGGGGAGATTCCTTCTTAGCGGGTGACGGTTTGGGAGGCATTTTAAATTATAATTAGACAAAGCACACGCACACCCCATGTTGGGAGGGCTGGGCATACCTTAGTGGGTAAAAAGCTGAGTGCCCCCAAGTAGGGTGCAACTGGAAAACGTGTCCCTTTGGTTTGTGGGAGGTGGGGGAGAGATTGCCCACACAGTCCCCTCGAGGCTGGCTTTAGGGTGCCTGCAGAGTCAGTCGTGAGCCACCCTTGGGGTTGAGGGGGTCCTCTGCACCTTGCCTGGGGCGATGTCCCTGCACCCCCCCAACAGGTAGAGTTTTGGACAAGTTTGCAGAGCTGGGTAGTGGGTTTCCACTTGTCTGTCCATCCCCCCCCACTTTGGAAGACCAGAAAGGAAGGTGTCACCACCGCCCTTCTCAAGTTGTTTTTTTTGGGTGGGGGTGGTGGTGGAATGAAGCTCCCCAGGCCTGCTGCCAGCTTGCCTCAGAGGTCTCCGGGGCTGGCCCGTCGCGGGTCGCTGTCCTGCTCATAGCGGTAGTGATACCCCTCCATCTGGTCCCGGCAGGCTTCTCGGAGATTGCTGAGCCACCGCTTGATGCCCTTTCGGTTGAGGTAGAGCACCATGAGGAAGACGACGCCGATGAGCGCCAGGACGATGCCGAAGAAGACGTACGAGGCCGTCTCCATCTCCTCTTCCTCGGAGCCGCCGGGCTCCAGCAGCGCCCAGTCCGAGCCGTCGAGGCATTCCAACTGCAGGAGCCGAAGGCGCCACAGCAGCCGGTCGCGCAGCTGCGGCGGCGAGGCGCAGCGCAGCCGGCGCACCCCGGGCGCGCGCCACGTGGCGTTGCGCAGCCAGAGCAGCAGGGGCCGCAGCGAGGCGCAATCGCAGTGCAGCGGGTTCGAGTCCAGCAGCAGCCGCACGCGGCCCAGCGCCGCCAAGCCGTCCAGGCGCTCGGAGCGCAGCGCCCGCAGGGAGTTGTTGCGCAAGTCCAGTTCCTCCAAGCCCGGAGGCAGGGCCCAGGGGGCCGGCAGCTGCCGCAGCCGGTTGCCGGCCAGCTCCAGGCGCACCAGGCTGAGGTTCAAGAGCGCGCCGTCCAACAGCTCGGCGAAGGGCGGCGCCCCGGGCGCCAGCAGCGCCTGGTTGAGGCGCAGCGTGCGCAACCGCGCGCAAGAGGCAAAGGCGCCCGGCGCCACGGAGCGCAGCGGGTTGTGGCTCAGGTCCAGCGTGGCCAGGGCGGGCAGGCCGGCGAAGGTCGCCTCCTCCAGCGTCTCGATGTGGTTGTGCGTCAGTACCAGCAGCGTCAAGTTGCCAAGCGGCCGAAGGGGCTCGCCGCGGGCCCAGCCTCCGGCGAAGGCGGCTGTGCGCAGCACCGTCAGGTTGCCGCCGACGATGGAGAGGTTGTGCACGGCCCGGGGCAGCTCGTCGGGGGGCTCGAGGAGGCGCACGTAGCGGCACTGCACGGTGTCCGGCGTGGCGAAGCAGAAGCACGACGGGCAGCTCCGGCCCGCCTGCAGTAGCGGCAGCAGAAGCATGGCGGAGACGCCGGCCAGCAGCCCGACGAGGCGGCGGCGCAGAAGGAGCCGTCTGGGGCGCCGGGCCATGCTATCCCCGCTTGGGCATCTCTGCGGGGCGCAGGGGACGGGTGGACGGAGCCCCCGCCGCCGCCGCCTGCTTCCTGCCCGCCTTGCAGCTCCTCCTTCTTCTTCCTCGGCGGTGCGGCGGCGGAGTTAGACGGTCACCGTAGCTCCTGTCGCCGCGAGAAGCAGCCGGGGCTGCCCGGAGCCCGAGGAGACCCGGCGGTGGCGGCGGTGACTCATGGCGGTGCGCGGCGTCTGCGGCGAGCGAGCAGGACCGGAGGCTTCCCCCACGCCGGTTCCGAGGGGGCGGGGAGGAGAGAGGGGTCCTGGGTAGGGTGGGGGGCGGAGGATCGCGGGCGTCGGAGGAAGGCGGCTGGCGATCTCCTCTCTCCTCTCTCCCCTCGTCGTCTTTGGCTGGCAGGTTAGTGGCGCAGCGCCCGGACGGCAGGATTAGGGGAGAGACTCGTCCCTCCGCCGGCCAGGTGGTTTCTGGCTCGAGGTTGGGGCGAGGGAGGGGCGGGCAGCGGCTGCCTGAGATTGGCTGGCAGAGGCTGAGCGCAGGCCCGCTTCCCAGCCGGCCGGGACAGCTGGAGGGAGGCGGGGAAGAGGGCGTCCCTCGCCCGCAGGGGCGTCCCCCCCGCCCCAGCCCTGAGGTGAAGCTGCGAGGCCTGACCTGGAAGCCCCCTCCAGGAGCAGGAAAGCGCTCCCCCTGTCTGAGGCTGGCCCCGTCCAAGTTAAGAAGCCATCGCGGGGGCTGCTTTTCTCGGGCCGGGTGTGCGTCCAAGAGAGGCTCTGCGCCGAGAAGGGGACAGGGAGCGCCTCCCCACTCCAGACGCTGGGAGCTCTGGGGCAGAGCGTTCCCCACCGTCTAAGTGTCTCCCCTGCAGCCTCTTCCTCCTGCATTCCATACGAGTGGATGGAGACTTTTTTGCGCCATTCGTGCCTTAGGCAAAGCAGGGGAAGGCGTGCCAAAAATGCGGTCGGTGTGTGTGTGTGTGTGGTGGTGGTGGTGGCTGCGAGGAGGACACCAGTAACCCCCCCTCCTCTCGCGAGCCAACTCCACTATGCTCTGTTATGCACAAAGCAATGCATTCCCCCCCCTCCCCCAGTGTTTCCCTGCCATGAGGTTTATCTGCTGCAATTTTATCCTGCCTTTCAGGATGCACGTCCTCTCAAGGCGGCTTACAAGCAACCTCTAAAAAACACCGCACCAGCAAAACCCCAGCAAACTGTATCAAAATATAAGAAGTCGACAAGGTGGGTGATGGGTGGATGGGAGGGGTCACAGGGTGGCTGGGGCAGGGGCAGACCAGCAGGCCTGGAGCAGCATCAGCCAGCTGGTGTTAGGGACGCTTGTGGCACTGTGGTCTAAACCACTGAGCCTCTTGCGCTTGCCCATCGATCGGCGGTTCGAATCCCCGCGACAGGGTGAGCTCCCATTGCTCTGTCTCAGCTCCTGCCAACCTAGCAGTTTGAAAGCACGCCAGTGCAAGTAGATAAATAGGTACCACTGTGGCGGGGAAGGTAAACGGCGTTTCCGTGCGCTCTGGTTTCCGTCACAGTGTCCCGTTGCACCAGAAGCGGTTTAGTCCTGCTGGCCACATGACCCGGAAAGCTGTCTATGGACAAACACCGGCTCTCTCGGCCTGAAAGCAAGATGAGCGCCGCAACCCCATAGTTGCCTTTGACTGGACTTAACCGTCCAGGGGTCCTTTCCCTTTACCATTAGGGTTGCCTGCCTGCCTGCCTGCCTTGCAGCTTGGCTAGGGCATTCAAGCAGCTTGAGTGGCCCATGTGGGGAGAGAGAGAAGAGCGCTGCACATCATCAGAGTCGCTCTCTCTCTCTCGTTACTGGCTTCTAGGACAGGCAACCTGACCTTAAAGACTCCAGTTGCATGATGCAAACTTTGTCATCTGCCACGCACCCTGTTTGGGTAGCGAAGTTGTAGTTGGTGACGGATGCAGGATGCGGGCCTTCACTGGCTACAATGGTGATGGTTTACCTCCACGTCCAACTGTCCGGATCCAAGTTGCATTCAAGTTGACGCAGGGTTATTCACACATGCATGCCAGAATGGAGAATGGTTGCATTTACATCCCACCTGAGTGGCACATACAGTTCTCCTCCTCCTCATTTTATCCTCACAACAGCCCTGTGAGGTAGGTTAGGCTGAAAGGCAGCGACTGGCACCCAGGGTCACCCTGTGAGCTTCATGGCCTAGTTGAGATTTGAACCCTGCTCTCCCAGGTCCTGGTCTGATGCTCTAACCACTACACCATGCTGGCTCTCAGCGGGGCCTGTTTCTCCCTTGCCATTCAAAGCATTTCACCCAAGCAGCTGAGGAAATGCTTTAGCTGAGAGCCCTTGCCTTGCACGGGGTTGGACTAGATGACCCTTGGGGGTCCCCTTCCAATTCTGTGATTCTAAAATTCTACGAATACTTTTCTTAACCAGAGACCTTGAACTGCAGCTGTCAATCAGGGTGAACAATACTGGACGGACCAGCGATTTCACTCATCTCAGAGCATACGCTGAGCCTGCTGGCTCTGGCCAGTGGCAGATAATCCAGCCCAGCATCCTGTTCTCGCAGGGGCTGACCAGATGCCTTTCCTGGGAAGCCTGCAAGCAGACCTGGAATTGCAGCGGCGCTGGTCCCCTCCTGCAGCTTCCAGAGGCTCCTTCACAGTCCAAAGCAGCAGCTGGTGCAATCTGCCGCTCGTGTGGTTGTTTTGCTCCTTGGTTTTGTGATGGGGATCTGGACAGAGCTGCAAGGCTTCAGCATGGAACTCCCTTCCAAGGGGAGGCAGGCATTCCCCCTCTTTTCCTTGCGTTCAGGAAACGTGCAAAGACTCCCTTATTTATCCAGGCTTTCGGCAGGCAGCTTTTATGGAGTTTTTACAGTGCTGTCTTTACAGGATGTTATAGGGCTGTTTTGATTCAATTATCGCAAGCTCCCCTGGGCTCCCTGCAGGGAGGAAGGGGGGGTGATAAATCTGAAATAACAACATGCTAACTGTTGCACTCGGGTCCTGCTTGTGGGGTTCCCATGGGTGCCTGGGGGGCTGCTGTGGGAACGGGATGCCGGAGCTGATGGACCATTCGCCTGATTACAGGAGCCTAGGAAGCTGTGTTGCAGAAAGGGAAGGCTGCAAAGTTTGGGGCTTTTTCGTTTGGAGAAAAGGCAAGGAAGAGGTGGCAGGATAAAAGTTTATGAAATTATGCATGGCATGGAGAAAAGGGCACAGAGAAAAGTTTTTATTCCACCTCTCATAATGCCGGAACTTGTGGATCTCCATGAAAGCTGAATGTTGAAAGACTCAGTGCAGAAAAGAGAAAGTCCTTCATGCAGCGCATACTTAAACTATGGAACTCCTTGCCACAGGAAGCAGTGATGGCCACCAACGGGATGGCTTTAAATGAGGATTCAATAAATTCAGGGAGGAGAGGGCTATCAATGGCTGCTCATAAGGATGGCTGTGTTCTGCCTCTATGGTCAGATGCAGCGATGCTTCTGAATCCCAGTTGTTGGAAACCCTGGGAGGAGAGAATGGGTCTTGGGCCTGAATCCTGCTTGCCTGGTTTCCCATAGGTATCTGGTTGGCCACTGTAAGAACAGGAGACTGGACTAGACCGGGGAGGACTAGACCAAGGGTCTTTCTGTGGGATGTGAAACACAAGAGCAGTCAAGTGCAACATTCCTAGAGTGAACATGTTTACACATAGGGAGAAATGTTTTCCAGCCAGCAGGTAAACTTCCTGTTTCCTTCTGGGCTAGGACAGACTTCTTCTGCATGTGACTATAGGTGGGCCTGGCCTCACCTGTGCAGGTAATGACAAAAGCACAGGGCAGGGCAGCCATCTCTCTTCTTTGACTACATGCATGGAAGAAGCAACATCTGCTTAGCCAAGGATGCTCTCTTGGCCAAGAAAGGACAAAGGGACGGTCTTCTTATGAGATAGTTTCCAGGTGTATGTTACTTTTCTAAGCTAAGTCTTCCTTCTGGGATCCTATTGTGAACAGAATGATGTGTGAGTAAACCTTTTTATACTTTTATAGAAGACTGTGTCGTGTCTTATCTTTTATGAGGGAATAAGGGGAAAATACCAGAACAGTTATTATAGAGGCTTTAGCGAGCCTGAGCAAACGCATCCGCTGCAAGTTTAAAAAGGGGGATGTTACTCTGCTAAATTGTGAACTTGTTAACACAAGTTGGAAAGGCTATTATCAGATAATATATCTTCTCTTGCATCCCTGAACATTCCCACACTTTCAAATTCCAGCAGAGAGGTCAAAATTCGGCACCCTCCCCACCTCTTGCCTTCTGTTCTGCTTAAGACACTGCAACATAGTCGCAGGATTGGACCTTGGGGTCCCTTCCAACTGTATGATTCTGTGATAGCAGGGGTGTCCTGTAGCGCCCCCTGGGCTCGGCTCCCAGTGTGGCAGAACCAGTTGCACTGCCCTAAATCCACCTCTGGCTAGATGAGCCATTGGCCTGATCCAGAAGGCTCTCCTATGACTACTTCTTCCTCCCCCTCCTCCTCCTCCTCCTCCTCCTCTGCCTGCTGATCCTTTGAATGGTGAATGCCGAAAACTGACCCTGGGAACTTCTGCATGCCAAGCAAATGCTCTGCTGTGCAGCTGTGGAAATGCCCTGATTGCGGGAGGGTGAGATCTTTTGAACACAGCAGCCCATTTCCTTCTGGGGTGGGTGGGTGCACCTGTCAATGGGGCCAGAGGCAATAATAATAACAACAACAATAATAATTTTATTTGTTCCCCAGCCATTTGAGTGGGTTGCCACAGCCATTCTGTGTGGCTTCCAACAAACTACACTCATACCTCTTGTTATGTTCGGTTCAGGTTATATCTTTTCAGATTGCGTCCCGCGGCGACCTGGAAGTACCGGAAAGGGTTACTTGCAGGTTTCGCCGCTTGCGCATGCGCAGAAGCGCAAAATGACGTCACACGCATGCGCAGAAGTGGCAAATCATGACCTGCATGTGCGCAGACATGCAGACACGGGTTGCGTTCTGTTCAGGTTGCGAATGGGGCTCCGGAACGTATCCCGTTCGCAACCAGAGGTACCACTGTATATCTATTTTTGCATTGGATGTGAATATTACCTTTGTACAAGAACCTCGTTTTTACACACACACACTTCTGACTTCCTTCTGGGCACGCGAGAGGCATCATCAGAATTCAAGGACACGGGTGCATTGCAGGGGGGTTGGCTAGATGTCCCCTCCAACTCTTATGATTCTGTGATGCATCCCAGCCATGCAAAAGCACTCAGGGAGGGTGCAAAGCAGAGCTGGAGAGGTGCATGGTCTGGAGAGTGTAGCAGGGGCCAGCAAGGGAATATTGGGGGGCCACATTTTGCCCCTGTAGCTGCAGTCCCCCC